AAAAAAAAAAAAAAAAAAAAAAAAAAAAAAAAAAAAAAAAAAAAAAAAAAACATGGAATACTTGACAACCCAGTACTAGACAATTTTTTTTTTTTATATATATAAATTAATTAATTTATTATTAAAAATTTAGACACAGCCCAAAAGGCTTACCGAATCCCCAAGTACGCACGATTTAGATTCAGATTCAGATTCAGATCCAGGGATCAGATTTTTCAGTTTCAGTTTCACCATTGTTGACCTCTTGTCATCTTCTTCTGCAGCCCTAACCCGTCTTTGCCAGCGTCCTGTTCCACTCCCCTCTCGCTTTCTCTCTTTCGATTCGAATGCTTCCTCCTTTTTTTCACTGACGGCGCCAATGGTGATCTCTTCCGTCCACGGCAGCCTTTCGCCTGTGCCCTTTTAGTGTCTGCCCTCCCAAGCACCGAACAGTGAGCGTCTTTCATTGCCGTTCAGCTCTTCAATCTCCGTTCTTTATTCTGCCTCTTAATCTGTAAGATTTTTTTTTTCTCTTTCTCTCTTATTCGATCGTTGCTCAGTATAATTTTGTTGGATGATTATCGGATCTGGATTCTGATTAAGTAGCTAATAGAATGGGCGGACTTAAGTTCGGCTGTGTACGTCGCTTCCTTGGGTGTAGCCTCTGTGCATGGAAAGTATTTTTCACGTCTCCGAGTTTGTATGTTCGCGGAATAGGTTGAGACAACTTAATAATATTGAATTTGTTTCAACTAAATCAAATTCGAATTAAGGATTTTATGCTTTCATTTCTAAGTTGTGGGGGAATTGAAGAAGTAATTCTAAGGTTCTGTTGTTTACCCTAATTTCTGATGCAAAGTGCTCAGTCTAATCACAAATGCACAGTGCAAGCAATGTCTCAAGATATGAAGTTTCAATTTGGTTGTTATGTTTCAGTTGATGAGTGAATTGGATCCTGTATCTCTTATCACCTTTAAAATTATAAGCACTTTCTAGTTCTTTAATGCATGCTGTATACCGGTGCTTGTTTTTTTCATCATGGTCTTTAGCAACTTGGCTAAGAAATTGGATGCCGACTATGTAAGGTTTAAGCATGGAATTCATGGATGGGCTTGTTTAGCGTGTGCAATAAGTAGTGCATTGGTTTGATATTGATATGCAATATTCCTTTGACAACTGCCATGTTCTATATTCACTGACATTCAATTATCCATATCATATGGTTTGAAAACGATCAAGTTATTAACTTCAAAGATGAGAGAATATATGCTACCACTACACATTTATTTATTACGAGATATTGTTTTACAAACGCTCAGCAGGTCGTCTCGAAGCAAACAAGTTTATGAGCTGGTTGGATCATTACAGTGAACTTACCAGGGGAATTCTTGAATAGGTTTTTCATATCTGGTTTCAAAATTTGAGGAAACAAAGCATTCATTTTAAAAGAATGCAGAATCAGGAAAATCTTGATGCTGATGGGAAAGTGGAGTCTGTGATATCAATTCAAACACCAGACTATGATAGTTGGGACACTTTTGGTGACGATGAAATCATGCAGCAGAAATCTGCAATTTTTGTTCAGGAGGCTGAGAAAGTTCCATTTGTTGGTGACAAGGCAGGTTCACCTATTTAAGTTTAATATCCTGCATTTTTTAGTCTTGATGTTGCAACACTTTTACCTCTTTTTCTTCCGTGTGTTTGTGTTTTTGGTTCCTTTTTTTTTGTTTGGTACATGTTTCATCTTATACTGTTGCATCTGGCATTCTGTTGTGTTCCTGGATTTTTATTATCCATTTTTTCATCCTTATTTGCATTCAAGGACCATGCTTCATCCACCTATGCTATGAAGTGGGAAACCAAGTTTTAATCTTTATTCTTCCCTTCTTTTTCCATATTATTCTATGAAGTGGATACACTTATTTTATCAATCATACCATGTTTGGAAAAATCATAAAACATTGTTTACCAACACAGTTTCTAAGCATAGATTTAGAAATTATTTGGAGTTTAGAAATGTTGGAGGGATTCTGCACCGTTGTTTGCTTCAAAAGTTGAACTTTATGCATGTTTATTGACATTTTTTGGTGTTTAGCTTTTGGGCTTATGTCTCTAACCCTCTTATGGAGCTTGGGGTAGGGTTGGTTGTTTTTTGTTGGATGAGGTGCTTTTGAATTCCTCTTTGTGGCTTCATAGCTCTAAGATGGTCTAATCAATTGATCTTTCTTTTACTCCCTAATGAATCTTAATGGCAACGGAGCTGCAGGAACCACTTTCTTCTTTAGAAGCTGAATATAAATCCGGAAGTCCCATTTTGCTGGAGAAAATTAAGGTTTTATTTATTGCCTTTATTCTATTGTTATTTTTGGGAGAGTAGTTTTTCTTAGAATATATTTAAATTACATGTTATGCAGGTGCTCAGTGGCCAATATGCTGCCATTCGTCGAACACGTGGTGATGGGAATTGCTTTCTCCGCAGCTTCATGTTTTCTTATCTTGTAAGTCTAAACACTTTTAATGTATCTCAGCAGATTGGTTATTGTACTTTTGGTGCATCATCGGACTTCAGCTGCTACTGACTTGGCCTCTCTATCCAGGAACATATTTTAGAGTCGCAAGACACCGCTGAAGTTGATCGGATCAAAATAAATGTGGAAAATTGTAGGAAAACACTTCGAAGTCTGGGATATACAGAAATTACTTTCGAAGATTTTTTTGAGGTAAATTGTTTCTATGCCCATGTTTTAAAAAATTAGTTTATTATTTGAATGTCTATCCCTGCTATAAGCAATATTGACTTATTTATCCCATTTAACTCAAGTCGGTGGAAGTTTAGAATCAACTGTTCTTACAATCTCAAAATGTGCTATCGAACATACCAGATAGAAATAGTGCTACATCAATTTTATTGTTGCCGAGATGTTCTCCTTGCAATTTGTGATGACTGAGGATGTTTTTAATAATTAATTCATTATGCCTCTATCTCATAGTTCATGCTAATTCTCAATTTGAACATTTTATGTACCGAGTGCTTCACCTCATTGAAGTCCTCACTTCGTTTTGTGCCTTGCACATGAACCCTAAAGAGCTGTTCTGTTTCATCGTGCTTCCTACTTTTAAGAACATTGTCCTGAATTTATACCACCTGAAAGAATTGAGATGTCTAGACTCATCCTTATTTATTATTGTTGTCTTTATTTCCTTTCGGTATAAACTAGCTAAATATCCTTGGTTAATGGTGGTTGCCTTAAATATAATTTCTGATTAATAGGTATGTTTAAAATATCTTTTCAGCTATTCCTTGAGCAGCTGGAAAGTGCTCTTCAAGGAAATGAAAATTCTATAAGGTGTCAATGACCTGCCCTTCTACCTTGGAATTTCAATTCTCGAATTTTATTTTATAGTGGAATATTCTGTTGCTTTCAGCTGTGAAATCGGTCATTCATGATTGCATTTGACTCTTAGTTTTCTTGAATGCAGTCATGATGAACTTGTTCTTAGGAGTCGAGACCAATCCATCTCTGATTATGGTCGGTGATGTTTGTAAATTCAATATTCAGTTGCCTCGCTCTTTCTGTTTCTTCTGACAAATTTGTTTTGCTAGTTGTTATGTTTTTCAGGTTTGTTACATCAGGTGAAATTCAAAAGCGTTCAGAATTTTTTGAGCCTTTTATTATGGGATTGACACATGGAACGGTTGATCAGGTTTCTTAAATTTGTAAAACTTCAAACAAGTTTTACATTATTTGTTGGCCTTTATTATTTAGATTTATGTCGCAAATTGGACCATACAAATTATGTTGAAACCTAAGTTGATTGGTTTGGGTAGCGAGTTTTAAGTGTAGTTTCTAGCAGAAACAGATTATACTTGGTATGCAATAATGATGATTTAGATCATGTTACCTTGGACAGGAATAATATTGGATCTTTCACATTCCCCTGTTGTTTGTTTACTTCGTGTGGGGAATAGAATAAGTGCAACCCACTTAAAAATGAAGATTCATGTTCGTATTTTGGGGAAGGATCATTACATCATAAATGATTATCAATCGCCTACTCCTATTCTCTGGGTCCAATTTTTTTTTTTTTTAAAATCTCTACCATTTTGTGGGTCCTACATATATTGAACTTCTGACTCATTCTAAGAATCTAATTGCCAACAAACAATATCTACCACAATTTTCTTTTTCCTGATCCAGATTTAATTTTAGTAAACAAAACCACCTTGAGTAACCTAGTTGTCGATAAAGGCTATGTAAATAATAAAGAGTGCAAAGGGTATGGGTTCAAGGCTTCAATCCATGGTAACACCTACCCAGGTTTTAATTTCCTGTGAATTGCTTTGCTATCTAATGCAGTAGGGTAGACAGTTGTCCTGTAAGAATAGTTGAGGTGTGTAAAAATTGATCCAAACATTTATGGATTTAAAAAAAATATTCTGTCCAATTAGTCAGGATTTTGGTTCACTGTTTGTTTGCATTAAATATACAAGACCTTAGGTCCATTGTTTTATCTGGATTAAAATGAGATTGCTTTGGTCTTATTATCCCATATTCTTGTGCATTAGAATCCTTTTATTCTCTTATTTAAGAAGATAGAATAACCTTTATATCATGATTTTCAATCTCGTTCTCATTTTATCTTTTCTGGCACAGTTCTGCAAATCAGCAGTTGAACCAATGGGTGAAGAGAGTGATCATGTACACATAATTGCGTTATCTGATGCATTGGGTGTGCCAATCCGTGTTCTGTACCTCGATCGGAGCTCTTGTGATTCTGGTGGCATCAGTGTAAATCACCATGATTTTGTTCCTGCTTCTAGTGATGGCTCAGGTGTTAGTGTTGGCTCTGAGATAAAGATCCCTTTCATTACTTTGCTCTATCGTCCTGGTCACTATGATATTCTCTATCCAAAGTGATGCACATTGGTAAGCTTTTCTCTTGAACTTCTTCGAAAAATTCAGTCATAGAAATGTCTCTTCCTGCCCACCTTTTATATTGCAAGAGATTAACTGTATAGTCTGTATATATAAAATGATGATGTTTTAACAGTGTATTACTGCTACATCCTCATTCATCATGCAAAATGATATTTCCATCCGTAGTTGTCAACTATTATTTGCAAATATGTTTGAAGTCTTTGATTTACTTGGGATTTTATAGGATTACTGAAGGATTTTTTCTGGGTTCATCTTAAGTTTAATGTCATGTATTTCAGGCCACTGGCGAACCAAGGTGGGGCTCTCAAAGATGAACTGCATTGGCACGGCAAACATGGATCCAAAGTTTCGATGAGATAAAGGTTGGATCTTTATAATTGATGCTTGCCAGATGCTCTGTACTGATTTTAAATATATTGTTGAGCTGTTTGAGTTTTTTTTTTATAAAAAAACTATATTCGCCGGGTAAACTGAAATTTGGAATATATGTGATCAGCCATTGAGATACAAATAGATTTCCTTGTGCCGAAACTTGATCTTTATCGAAAATAGTAGGTTTCTTAGGGATTTGCCCTTTTTCTTTCGGAGTGAATTAGCCTAAATTGCATATAAAAATTGCAATACTATACAGTGTAATATTAAATTTGATGAAACTAAAATTTTGGGTGAAAATTTATACATCAGCGGTAAAAGCTGTCCCCTATAATATTGTTTAGGGTGATAGGAAGACATTTTAGTTCTTGGAGTCATCAAGGTTTGAAGCTATTAGTCAAGCGTGCTATGCATATTGAAGGAAGGAGAAAAGAGGTCTCTTTCCTTGCTTGATGGTAGAGGTCAATCCTCTTTCACTTTTTGTGCCTCCTTGTAGTCCTTAGGGTCGAGTGTCTATTATGAAACCTCAGGGACCAAAGAAACATCGAACTCTAAGTCTTGGATCAATGTGTATTCTGTACCAAAAAAAAAAAACTAAATAGAATCCAAACTTCCAAACGTAGTTCGTATGGAATCTCTTTCTAACCTCCCCTCGTTGGCTTTTCCTTGAGCGTTGAATCAAGGAAAGAAAGTTGAAAGAATAGTGACCAAAGAAACATTTAAGGAGCTTAAATAGAGTTCATAGAAATGTTAATATCTGATTTTCTCATGGTAATATCTGATCCTCTCTCAACATCAAGGAATTATCCATATTAGTATCAGTCCTTGATTTTGGTAGTGTTTATTTATTATTTGATTGACTTACATTATTAAGGAAGTTCTTACCCCAAATGTTGAACTCATAGTCACTATTAAGCTTAAACTTGTTCATCATTTCTCTCTCCTTCTTGTTATCATTAACATTTGAGGCTTTGGAGATGTGACTAGAAAGAACGTTGCACCATGTATAGGATAGGAGTTAAAAATGAGTATTGAATAAGAGTGTGAAAAGAAAGGAAAGTGGGTTTGGGAGATGGTAGAAGCAACGGTGGTATGGCTTAAAAAGCAAAAGGTTTGATCCAAATTTCATAGAAAGAGATGCAAATTGGTCAAAAAAGTGGAAGGACATAGGCCATAGCATAGTCTTCTCTTCACTTCATCATAAAGTAAAGTTCCACTCCCATTCTTCTTTTCCTCATTTTCTTATAACTTTCCATCTATTCTCAACACTGTTTTTGGCCTACGTGGAAAATCATGTCCAAAAACTTTATTGGGATCATCAAAATAAAAACATAGAAGAATTTTTTTATTTTGTCTTTTTTTCTCGTCTTTCTCTAAGCATCTCGCTCGGACCCTTGGAATTCCTTAACATCTGTCTTAACCGAGTCGAGATAGGTACTCTCCTAGGTTACAGCCAACAAGAACACATGGTACTTCCCAACAAGCTACCCACCATATTCTTGTTTCTTTTTTCTCACCTTTGGTGTTTAGGAACATTATAATGATTTGAGAATCATGCAAAAGAAACATCGTTTTGGTAGGATAGAATTTTAGAAACAATTTGCATTAGGAAGAAAAAAACATAGATTTTGTTGTTTCCATATGTTTTCTTTCTTGTTATGATTAAATTAATTGTTTGTATGTGACTTTTGTTTGTACCAATGATTTTTCAAATTAATTGGAATTTCACCTAACTTAATACATATCGATATTTGATCATAATTTTGTACTCTTTTTTCCATGCATGAGGAAAAAAAAATATATATAGAAAAAAGAAATAAGGAAATGCTTTATTATTGTAAGCATAAAGGCATATGATTGAAACAAAAATATTCCTCAATCATGGTGGAGAGTTGATGAAGAAGCTTAAGCACTTTACCCCCACACAATAATCATCTTTGTCCCCTCCCCCAACAACTTCATTCATTTCTCAAAATTTCCCTTTACATTGTTTCCCTGGTAGGGTGTTACACGTATACATGTTATATTACTAACTAAAATATCATGAAATTCAGCTGGTAATGTTTTACTTATACATGTTTCAAATATCAAATATCCGTCTTAAAAGTAGGGTTTAGGGTTTAGGTGGTCTAACCTTATTTTCGGTTGACTGGACCAAAAAAGCTTTAACCAAACCCACAAACTTAAACGAATGTTTGGGTTTTTCAAAAAATTAACCAAGAAAAAATCTAATCCAATCGAACCCTTATAGTTTAGATCAAATGGTTTGATAAGAGAATTTTGTGAGTTGAAGGTGGAAGTTTCTCTCCCTTCTTATTTCATCATCCATTATTCATTAAATTTTTACTCCAAAAGAAAAAAAAAAAATACAAACATAGTTTAGATTGTGCTTGATTTGTACCATCTTCTTCTTTTACAAAAACCCTCGGATCAACGGTGGAGATCATTTTGGACAGAAACAAGTGGGCCCTCACATAATTTTGGTTTTTTCTTTTTGGTATATCCTTTCTCTCTATTGGATCATCCATTTCCGATATCTCCCAAAAATAAAAAAAGAAAAAAGAAAAGGAGGGAAATTTATTTTATTTTATTTAAAAAATGGGCCCCACTTTGGGTGGGACATAACACAGTTGTGTGCCACATTAGATTCTAAGATGGTAAAACTCTTTCCTCTACCATCTACACGCGCTTCTGCAGCACGTGTCCACCAGTCACCTCCTTTAATTACTTGTGGATATATAGTCTTTCATTCATATTCTTGTTGTAAATGTGTCTAAACATTTGGGTATAAATAATATAGTTAAATAATTAAGTTCACCAAAAATTATCCGTTAAATCATTTATAATCATCCAAAATAAAGAATTTAAAAACCATAGTTAGTAATAAATATAAATATAAATATAAATATAAATAAAATAAAATAAAAAATTTAATTGCACAAATTATATCATGTCATTTACTTTAGAAGAATATCTAAAATATGGTAAAAATTGCAATATTCTTTCAAAATTATTATATTTTAAAAAAATTATAAAATAATAATATTATTCAAAATAAAGTAAAAAAATACTTATTTTTGTTATTACTCGAAAGGAGTTTGAATATATGATAAATGATAAATTGGGGAATTTGTTTTTTTGTTTTGTTTTGTTATCTTTTAAAACGACACCGCTCTGGGCGTATGGTGGTCGTCTGGGATTGACAGACACGCGCCCTCAAAAGGCGGTGGCTTGTCTGAATTCTATTTTTGTCACTTCCCACTCTAAACAAAACGACGTCGTTCCTTTCACCTTCCTGAAACGACGCTGTTTCTTCCCTTGCCTTTGCCTCCATTTCTATTTAAGATGGGGAAAAAAATAAATTTCATTTTTTTATATTGTGTTCGATCAGTTTGCATATAACTCGACTAATCTCATCGGATAATCGCTGATTCCGGGCTACATTCCGTTTACAAAAAAAAAAAAAACATGTTTTAATATTTAAATTTAGAAATATGTTCCATTTTCGAACATAAACTTAAACTTTTAAAATTAAGCATTTTTACCCAAAGTTTCTTTAGGTCTATTTTAGTAAAATTTGAAAGTTTTTTTTGATGTATATTATTATTATTATTATTTTTTGAAAATGAAAATAATAAAATAAAAAAAAAAAAAA